TGAATCACTGTGATAAAAGTTATTGGCAGAACTTTCTAAAAATAGCTGATGACTACCCATTCCTAGACCCTACCTAGCTACCCTACCTATACCTATACCTAGTCACGTGCTACCCTACCTATACCTATACCCAGTCACGTGCTACCCTACCCAAACCGTTTGGGTAGGGTACCTCGTATACCCTACCTAGTTCCTACCCACTAGTCACGTGACTATACCTATACCCTACCCTACCCTACCCATCCGCCAGTCTATACTAGAATAGGTAGGATATTTATACTAACTTAACTTACCTAAGGGATCTCGCATCTATAATGTGTTTACCCTAAATATATTGTACAAAGACCCCTAGGACCTACTCCTAGGACAAGAAGCGCTAAAACCCTTAGGTATCCCTATCTAAGGCGTTGAAGAGTAGGAAGTAGAAGAAATCCTAGCCAGCAAGCTCTATCGCGTAACCCTGAAGTATTAGGTTAAGTAGGTAGGCCACAATTAGGACCCTACTTAGTATAACGCCTCCAACTTTATAGGCGCCCCCTATAAGTTAAGAGCGTTCTACAAACAATACCTAAATTAGCCAGGACCTCTAAGAGGTCTAGACAAATAGATTAACGCGTGGGAGAAAGGAATAGAAGACATATTGCAGCTAAAGTATGACAAAGTAAGGGAGAATAAACGCAGTTTGTTATAACACGCTATCTATAGGTACAAACTAGCTAGTTTTAGACCCTGCCTTAGGCCTTACAGTAGGTTTATCTTGTCACCTAAAAATTTATAAGGCATGTTAGACAGCTCGCTGTCTAACTCTGCCCTGACTGCTCCCCCTAAACTACTATTATATCTATTCCCCCTTCTACCACTTAGACAACCACCCTGTCCACCTTATTGTCTTTTTCTACCTTAACTCCCTCCTTCTATAAGGCCCTGCAAAACCTTTGTTAGCCCCACCTAAGCTCCCGCCACCTTCTCAACAGCCACCGCCAGATCAGCCATCTGAACCTAAAGGACCTGATTCTCCTCCGCTACCTGATAGTAGTCCGCTAGTAGCACGTCCATGTAACGGGCTAGGCCCGATGGTAGCGCCTCGGCGCTCGCCGGCCTCGGCCAACCTCCGAGAGGAGGTGCCTGCCCAGCCGTACCCCCAGTCAGGAGGTCCCAATCTTGACTAATTGTGTAACCTCCGCACAGAGGACATAAAAGTCTGCAGACCTCTGCCTGCAGCCACTCCTTAACAAATCTATTTAATTTATACTTGTAAATAGCCTGCAGAGGCCAGCTCCTTATATTTAGATTTGTTTATCCTCTTTATTTGTTTATTTATTAAGTATCTGTGAGGAACTACTTATAATAAGCAAAAACACTAATGCTGTTGTAGGGCGGCTTGTTAAATATAGAATTAAACTCTGCTTGAGTACTAACTCCTAATTAGACGTTTGCACAGAATTGCAACACCGCGCGAGCACTCTAGCACCTGCGGAATGGCTAGAGACTATTTATGAACGCGCTCTGACTCTGTTGGCTACTTACTTAGCCTGGGCCGCCCTGCCTAAAGATACAGTTAGGTTGCTGGAGGTTGAACAGCTGACAACTAGACCTCTAAACCCTCCACAAACACCTTAGCAATCCTAACTAATAGTTAATATAACAAACAAATACATACAACAGGCTATCTAAGCAGGCATATAGGCGTATAAGGACAAGGAATAGCAGAGATTAGTAACAGCTAACATCTCTCCTGCCCTAATAATAGCTGCTACTGTAACCTAGTTAGGCTTTATAAAGCTTAAGCTTCCTAATATAGGGAAGTTTAATAGTAACTACTAGCTCTATTAGATATTTAAGTCCTAGATAATAGACAAGCTTACTTCTATAGGAGAATATTAATTAATCCTAGGTGTAGTGTATATGTTTAACTAATTAGAAGGGCAAGCTGCCTAGGTTAGTCTATCCTAGAAATCCTGCTACCTGTTAGGATTAACTACAGAATTCTAGAGCTTCCTTAATAAATAATACTAAGACACCTAGTTTAAAGAAAGATCTTATTAGAAGCTATAGATAATTATAATAAAGAAAAATAGATAAAGCCTTAAAGCCTTTAACACAGAGTTTGTCTAGCTAGCCTTTAATGCTAGAGAAGAAGAAAATAAATAGAACCTTAAGATAAGGTATATGTCTACTATCTATAGCAACCTTTAGGACAAGATAGTATCTATAGAAGTCCTTAAAGAATAGGAACTTTAGACCCTTATAGTACAAGTCTTAAAAGTAGAGACTAACCTAAGGCAAGTTAAGACTTATACCTATAACATATTGTTTAGACAATAACCTAGAAGGAAGGATAATAATAAGATAGACTAGGAACCTATAAAAGTCTACGCTGTGCGTATAGACAATAACAACAACAACAATAAACGCAAATAAGCTGAATAGAAACTACAAGAGGTCCTTAACAGGCGAAGGGCTAACAACTAGTGCCTCTAGTGTGGCAGAGACAGCCACTACGTTAACTGATGCAAGCTAGCCCTAGCCAGACAACCAGGTACTGTACAGGTCAGCGCAGCTGCCACAATAAACAGTGTGGAGGAATACTCAGACTTAAACAATTCTAATTTAGAAAACTAGAACCTCCTGTCCTAAGTCACAGACAGGGGTTAATTAGCAAGGTTAACTAGGATAGCAAGTTATTCTAGCAGTTCTATTAGCAATAGCTAGATAGTAAACCTATCTTGTTGTATGTTTTAATAGACAACAAGACTATAGCACACACACTAATTAATACTAGGTGCTTAACTTACAGAATTATCTCTTTAAGCTTTATAACACAAAACAACCTTAGGCGCATCTCTATACTAAGGAAACAAGTTATTAGCATAGCTAGCAAGATAACCTAGCTAAAGAAAGTAGTTAGGATAAGGATTAATATTAATAGCTATGTTAAATAGATATTTGTATATGTCCTTAAAGGAGAATATAAATATAACCTAATCTTAGGCTGCCTATAGATAGATAAGTACAAAGTAACCCTAGCGCTAGCTAAGAAGTTACTGTTTATCTACTTGTCTATAACAAGGGTGCAGAGCAAAGAAGGCATTAGACTAGAGCTAGTACTACAGTAGGTTAGCCTAGAGCTGTATAGGGCACTACAAAAGCAGTTAAAGAAAGATTCTTTAATAGAAATCTTCTCTACTTCTATAGCAGACATACAGAAAGCCTTAAAAAAAAAGGCCTCTAGGGACCCTTATATCCTCCTCCCTAACTACCTAAAGGAGGAGTTCTAGACGTTTATAAAGGAAGAAGTAGACAAACTAGCTCTACATAGAGGAGCAGATGTTGACTATGCTATTAAGCTTATTAAGCAGGACGGCAAACTAGCAATAATCCCTTAGGGACCCCTATACAGCATGTTAAGAGAAGAACTCTTAGTCCTCTACCAACAACTAACTAGCTACCTAGACAGAGGCTTCATTTGTGTGAGCAAATCTAGCGCCTTAGCGCCAGTGCTATTTGCCTAGAAACCTAGTAGAGGTCTCTAATTTTGCGTTAACTACTAGGCACTTAACATAATTACAAAAAAAGACTAGTACCCCCTACTACTAATCTACAAAACCCTATCACAAATCTTAAAGGCTAAATAGTTTACTAAAGTTAATGTGATCTAAGCGTTCTATAAAATTTACATTACTAAAGGTAATAAGTAGAAAACAGCCTTCTAGACAAGGTTTAGACTATATAAGTAGCTTATAACCCCCTTTAGACTTACTAACACCCCTAGTACCTTTTAATAGTATATTAATTAGGTACTGTAGGAAGATCTAGATAAATAGTGTTCTGCGTATATAGACAACATGCTTATCTACTTAAGTAGGTTGCAAGCAGAATATAAAGCTAAAGTTAAGGACATTATTTAGAAGTTAGGTAATATAGGCCTCTACTTAGATATTAAGAAGTGTAAGTTCTCTATTAAGAAGACTAAGTACCTTAGCTTTATTATTAAAGTAGGTAAGGGGATCTAGATAGATCTAGGAAAAGTTACTACTATTAAGGCCTAGGAACCCCTAAAATTAGTAAAAGGGATACAGAGCTTCCTAGGGTTTACTAACTTCTATTAATAGTTTGTTAGTAACTTCTCCTTAATAGTAGAACTACTAACTTAGTTAACAGGGAAGAATTTAGTGTTTAAGTAGGGGAAGCCTTAATAATTAGCCTTTAAGGCTATAAAGATAGTATTTATTGCAGAACCTACGCTGTTAAACTTTAATAAGGACCTAAAGACAATCCTAGAGTGCAATGCCTCTAGATAGGCCACTAGGGGAGTACTGTCGCAGTACAGGACTGATAGCGTCCTGCAGACTGTTACATACTTCTCTGCAAAAAACACAAAGGCTAAGGTGAACTACACTATCTACAATAAGGAGATACTAGCAGTTATTAAGTGCCTCTAGGAATAGAGTACTAAGCTAAGATCTGTGAAACACTTCACAGTTGTTACTAACTACAAGAATCTAGAGTACTTCTGCAAAACAAGGTTGCTGTTAGAAAGGCACGTTAGGTAGTTAAGCTTGTTAAGCTAGTTTAATCTAACATTTGTGTACTGTCCTAGAAAAGTTAATAGCTGGGCTGTGTAAGGAGCTGGCCTCTGCGGGCTATTTGCAAGTATGAATCAAATGGATTTGTTGAGGAGTGGCTGCAGGCGGAGGTCTGCAGACTTTTATGTCCTCCATGCGGAGGTTACACAATTAGTCAAGATTAGGACCTCCTGACTAGGGGTACGGCTGGGCAGGCACCTCCTCTCGGAGGTTGGCCGAGGCCGGCGAGCGCCAAGGCGCTACTATCAGGCCTAGCCCGTTACAGTACCCCCCCACTTGTCGCGTTGTTTATAACGCGTCCCTAGGTCAAAACACCAAATCTAGTCGCGCCGCCCACTACTCCGCCAACCAGCTTGTCTCTAACATCGTACCACGAGCTGCTGTCCCCTGCCCTGCCACAACTGTTCCGCCGCCCATCATGGCTCCTAAGACCCCGTCCAAGCCTCGCTAGGGCAAGGTAAGTGTTGTGGTGCTTTTTGCTGATTGCGATTTCGCTAAGACCCCCACGTAGCGTCCCCTATCTAGGTCTCCCTCTGTTGCACGCCCGTCTAAGAGGCTAATTAGGCCTAATAATATTGTCATGGACGAAGAAGAGGTTAACGCAATACTTGTCTCTAACAACAAGGACAACGTTAAGGAAGTCTCTAATAAGGCTAAGCAGTCTCCCTATACTGCGCGCGCCCTTAGGTTTGCCAACCTAGAGGTTTGCACTAGCTGCGCTTTAGAGGGTTTTGCCTGCACGTTCTCTAGGGATGCTCGCAAGAGGGGCGCTAAGGTTCGCAAGTCTGCTTGCGACGTATGTGCTCAGAAGCAGACTGCTTGCATCAAGGTAAAGTTACCACAGTTCCCCTTTTACAGTGTGCTAACGTTAGGCAGCTGCCCTGCAAGACCTTTAGTACTTTAGTGAAGTACAAGGTAGCTTCTTGTGTCTCTAAGAAGCTGTTGCACCTCCTCAAGTACTCTGCGCCTGTCAGGCCAGCGCTAGAGAAGCGCATGAACCTCCCTAAGCACGCTGAGTTAGACTCTTACCCTTGTTCTAGTTGTAGTGGCGTCACTAGTTATAACCTTGAGTAGTCTAACTACAAGGAGGAGATTAACGCTATGCTTGCCTATCCTTGCCTAGAGGTTAAGTTCGCTAAGCGTACTACTCTAGCTTGTAAGGAGATCCTTTAACAGCAGAAGCAGATTATAAGTGTTTCCCTAGGCTTTGTTCCTTCGTGCTTATGGTTCTACAGCTTCTGTATCTGTTGTCTCTTTATGCGCACGTTCTTGACCTCAGAGCGTCCTTCCGCAAGCGTGTTGGCATGGCGGCTCCTGTGACCACTTCTGCCGACATCATGGCCCAGCTCTAACTAGAGGCGGAGGCCCTAGTTGCAAAGGAGAAGGAGTGTCTTCAGGACAAGGATAACAGGGTTCTTTAAGGCGCCCCTCTTAGGTCAGCTATTGGCGTTTAGAGTTTCTTTTTTGCTTTTTTTTTTTAATAAACAATACCTAGCTACAGCCCTCCTAGATACTCTAAAGTTAGAGTAGCTACTTCTAGAGTAGCTTCTTAAATAGACTATTGTTTATTTTCACATTCCCTCCCTCCTTTATGCGTGCCCTAATAGTAGCCTACAGTCTTCCTCTTCCTCTTCTCTAACACTATATTTAAGGTGTTAGCTTATGCGCGAACTCCTGCAAGGGGTTTATGATAGAAATTAGCAGGTAAGTTACTATTCTTGTCTCTGTGGTTTGCAGAGAACACTACCTAGTTGTCTAGGGCCTCTAAGTCCTTGCACGTCGCTGCTAGTTCCTACGTTGCTTTTGCATGGCCGCGCCACTTCACAAGATACAAACAGTCACGACCACCGGTCCCTGTTGCTTGTTCTGCGTTGATTTGTTCAACCTCCTATTCCTCTGCTAATAACCTGTTATTGTTCGCAACTATAAGCAGGCCTAGCTGTTAGTTATTGTTAGTTTGGCTATGCAGAGGGTTCTAGGGGCATAGGCGTAGCCGCTCGACATAAAAAACAGGGTAGATGTTCCCTTTAACGTTAAGTTTGACGTTGTGAGGAGACACTACCTCTATAATAGTGAACTTCTAGTTCTTCTAGTCTAGTTTCTGGCTTTTCCTGTTGTTGGAGAAGTGAGTACCTAGTTTAAGCTATACCTTGTCGCCTACCTGCAACTAGGGAGCCTCTTTGTGGTGCTTGTTGGCCTGTAGTTCTTGTGCTTGTTAAGCTTCTGCCATCTTGGATTGTGCAAAGCTGAACGTCTTAACAAACTTCTTAGTTATAGCAACAGCTGCTTTACCTAGAGACCTTGCGTAGTAGTGTAACAGCTCTGCTGTTAGGTCTGGGTCCTCCTGGACGACGTCTACATCGTACCTGTGTTGTAAGAAGAAGGGACTTACGCCTGTGGATGCGGCGATTCTCCCTTTAATCGCGATTTAGGCAATGGGTACCTATCAGGCCTAGTCTTTCTGCGACCAGTTGGTGTAAGCGCAGAGGTAGGCTTCTACTACAGAGTTTATGCGTTTAGTGCTCCCATTAGTTTGTGGGTGAAACGCAGTTAATAACCTCTGTGTGATCTTTAGCATGCAACACATAACTGTCTAGAAGTTGCTTAAGAACTAAGATCCTTAGTCTAACATAATAGTGTTAGGGAGCTAGTAGTGTACCACTACATGTGTAAGAAACGCTTTTACTACTATGTTAACCTATAAGCTAGGTAGTAGAATAAAGGTCACGTCCTTAGAAAGATAATCTATAACTACTATAAGGTTCTAGTTACCCTTACTTTCTAGAAGGTCTGTAATAAAGTCTATAGAGATTTCCTTCTAGATCCTTTTAGGTATTAGGAGCAGCTTTAGTAATCCTTGTTTTAGTTCTCTCTATAGCTTTGTACGTCCACAGATGTTGTAGTTCTCTACGTACCTCCGCAATGCTGATGACATCCTAGGCTAGAAGTATGAGCGGGACAATATTAAGTACATGTTGCCTCTACCTAGGTGACCTGCAATAGGCAAGTGGTGGATCTTATTAATAATCTGTCCTCTTAGGACTTCTAAATTAGGTACCTATTTCTGCTTGCAGTAGCGTAGTTGCCCTAGATTATTAACTAAACATTCTGCAAGCAAGACTTTAAGACCTAGTTGTAGAGGGAACTTCTACGCGCTAGACAAGATTGTGTCTCTTGCTAGTTAGTAGGTATCATCTACCGCAGCTGTGGTTGCCCACAGTCACTCCTGTGCGTTAATGTTGTTGTAAGGTTTGTCTTCTTGGTGGCTGTTACTTGTCTAGACTTCTTGTCTACAGGCGTGTGTTGTGACAGAGTAGATACTAGGTGGTTTAGCTATAGTTGACTGTGCTGGTTGGAGGCCTTCTGCGCACTAGAGGGATGTAGGGCAAATTTTCACTAAGAATGCCACTGTAGCACCTGCTTCCCCCTCATTGTAAGCAGGTTTTTGTACCCAAGCAAATAGTTTTAGCAACTGGAATTTTCGTGTTCGCGTTTAATTATTGCCTGTTAGGGGTGGCAAGTCCTCTTCGTGTCTAGACAAGGCATTAGCCTAGCTATTAACTTTTCTAGGACAGTAACATGGTTGGCAAGCGAGTCGGTCAGACAAGCGAGTCGGTCACCCCACCAACTTTGATCACCTACTCTATCTTAACACACAATGCCTCCACGCCGCGCTCTGCTCATGCAGTTAAATGAAGCAGATATTCAGCTTGCTCTCTTATCTATAGATTCTGCCCAAATTCAGAGTACACGACGCGCTGCTACAGTCTTTAATATCCCAAAATCAACCCTAATTGACCGGCGCGCTGGAAAGCGCGCGCGACGCGATTGCCAGCCTAACTCAAGGAAGCTTACCCAGAGAGAAGAGGAGGTTATTGTCAGCTATATACTTCACCTAGATCAGCGTGGATTTGCGCCTACCTACGCAGCTGCACGTGATATGGCTGATAAGCTGCTGGCTGCACGCGGCGCTGGCCAGGTTGGGCAGAAGTGGCCAGCTAACTTTGTCAAGCGTACAGACAGTCTTTGGACGTGTTTTAACCAAGCGTACAATAGGCAGCGAGCTCTGTGTGAGGATGCGACATCAATAAAGAGGTGGTTTAAGCTTGTAGAAGAGACAAAGGCTAAGCAGGGTATCTGCGATGAGGACGTCTATAACTTTGATGAAGCTGGCTTTATGATGGGCAAGATTACAACGCAGCTGGTTATAACAGGAGCAGAGAGGAGAGGCAGGCCAAAGACTCTTCAGCCAGGCAATCGCGAGTGGGTAACGCTGATCGCTGCTATCAGCGCTGCTGGCTGGTTAGTGCCACCATTCCTCATCTTCGCTGGTCAGTACCACCTATCAGCCTGGTATGAAGAGGATATCCCACGCGACTGGGCGATCGCAGTCAGCGACAATGGCTGGACGAATAATGAGCTTGGAGTTGAGTGGCTAAAGCACTTTAACGCTCACACGCAGGCTTGTAGTATAGGCGCGCGTCGCCTGCTTATTATTGATGGCCATAAGAGCCACCAATCTCTAGCGTTCCAGGAGCTCTGCAAGGAGAACAACATCTACACGCTCTGTATGCCACCTCACTCATCTCACCTACTCCAGCCGCTTGATGTTGGCTGCT